CCTTCGTGTAGACTCACTCCGGAGCCCTGGGAAGGGCGAGCTGCTGGGAGAAAAGGCGCCGTCCCTTTCTCCCTGTTCCTGTCCTTGCCTCCTGCGTGCCCCTGCGCCGGTCCTGCAGCCAGGCCAGCGGCCCTGCCGCCATCTTCTCGAGCGCGGCTTGCCCAGTGCCCAGCATAAATAAGATCCTGCCTTAAAAATAAGGTAATGAACCACAGTACATATTAAGTAGCGATGATGCTGGAGAAGAGCAGGTGGAGCCGGTACTTTGAAATGATGCAAATGTGACTAGTCGTGTGAAATAGTGGTGTCAAGTGTTTTTTTATATTTGGATGTTCAATAAAGTCATCACTTCCCAATGGAAAGGGGATCCGTATTCATGAATGTGGTAATGATTGCACTTGTGTGATTACAGTAGCTATGGCAGGAAGTCAGAGGATAGTAAATACTTCTGTAATACCAGTTGTAGTGTATTTGACTAAAGAAGTGATGTAGAGAGAAATTATTTGGTGGAGTAAAGCTTTTTCTTGAGTACAGCTGGTGATAATACTATTTTTCTCTTACCTGTTTCCTGGGAAGCACTTGGCAGTGACTTGCAAAATAGAACTGGCATAAGCAGGATTATGGTGTTTAGTTTTTCCACTTCCTTGAAATGTTAATGCCATGCCTGTCAAAATTACATGAAAATTGTGTGGTTTAAAGGGGGTGGCGGGGGGGAGAGAGAGTGTGTATTTTGAAGCTTGACTTAAGTCAATGGGCACAATATCACAAGTTTGCATGCTTCTACAGCCCAAACACTTTGCTCCAGTGTTTGGAACAACCTCTGTAGATATTTCAGATAAGTCTATTCTCCACACTAATGACATTTTCCAGCTTTTTTGTGGTTTATTTTCAAGAATTAAGACCATGATCAATTAAGACCTTATAAACTATATTGCTATGTTCAGTTTGGTTGCTATAACACAAATAGCTTGTAGACAATAAATGAATGAAGTTTTTGAATGTCAGCCAGAGATTTCAAGTCAACCAGCTTACAGGTTCAAGCATCTTATCTTTCATAAAAAAGGGTTCCTTAAAGATCTTCGGGTAACTTAAAACAGTCTGTAATTATAGAAGATAGTTCTAGACTTAATCACGTCTCCAGCATATTCCCAAGTGTGTTCAGAGTCATGTATCAGCACAGATTTTTTTAATATCTAATTTTTTATGTCTGTTTTGTCTCTCTTCTGGATGGTGTTTTGATTCCATGGAAATAAAAATTATGAAAGAAACCAAAAGATAAACATCCAGAAAAGTGAATTTGTAATTTGTGCACATAAGTAATGTTGAAATTCAGTATTACCAGTCTGTCTCTTTAGTGAAAGCTTCATCTCAAGATCCAGATTTACATTCACATTCTTCTAAAATTGTGCCTTACTCATATAATTGTACGTTACTACTTCAGCATGAGGCTTTCAACTTGGTATCCCAAGCATGGTTTTCGATAGCCTTGAAAATGTGGTTCTGACAATGGGGGTGTTTTTTAAAAAAAAGAAGGATCATGCTCTTTGGACAGCAAAAACGAGCAGTAAGAATTCCAAGAGCAAGAAGCATGTTTCACTGAATAGTCATAGGCTGGATAAGATCATCATGAAGTGTCTACAGCCTTTTCTTCTTTCACACAGTGCATCCACATCCATTCTGATTTGTCTGTGGGAATAAATTTGCTATAGTACTACCAGCAGCAGTGCTAGCATATTTGCATTTAGGGCCACTTTTCTGATGTGGCACTTTTCTGGCATTCGCTTCCAGCTTAAGGAGAGCTATGGTGAATTCAGTAGTGCTGAATGCCATACCACTTTATTTCTTAGCAGACTTCAAAGAAATAAGAGCTGTAGTAAATATAACAGGATGTTTAGAAGGGCACATTTTACGTGAAGGTTCACAAAAGTGTGACAATATGTCTGCTTATCTGTCCTAGCCAAAACAAGAATCCTGTAGTGTCTGTAGTAAAGAAGTCAATGAAATAAAGAAAAAGCTGGGGTTTATTCATGCATTTGTTAATAGCACATTTATCTGACCGATTTGACATCTAAAAAAATATTTTGACTCTGTGACACAGTAGATCTGGACTTTGTATTAAGACAATTGTAGCAAGGACTCCAACAATGGAATGCTGTCTACTGCCTTGGTCAGGACTGCTCTGCTCACTTCAGTGAGTCTCCTTTGACAAGACATCTGGAGGTGCAAAGCTGTAAGAAAAATGGAGTGTAACCACAGCCATAACCTTACTGTTCCTACTGCCAAGGCAGCAGGAGAATAACTACCACAGAAGTCAGGTAAATGTGCATCATATCATTTTCATTTGTGAAAGGTACTGAAGATACTTTCTCAGTTGCTGAAGTTGCTAGATGCACCTTGTCTAAGACTAATAGTTTATAGTTTATTTTTGGAGAAGCAGACAGTTCTGCTGTCCTTGTAAATGGATTGATCACCATGCCTTTCAGCTGATGATCCTCTCTGGAGAGAGAGAGGACCACTCTTGTACAGCCTTTCAATTCATTATCTCCCTCTACACTTCTACAGAATAGAAAAATTCTTAATCTTGTCATCTCTGACCTACAGACATAGCCAAAGCCATTTTTGTGTCTGCTGCTCCAGTTGCAGTGTGCCAAAGACCTCTTCTCTGTATTGCTTTTTAGGCACTGCAGGAAAGATGGTCATTAAGTTTGTCAACAACACGGGGTGTACTTTGCTCTAAGTATATCCAACCCCTTCATAATGCAAAAAACAATCTTCTTTTTTTTGCCGTCAGCTGATATGTAGGCATAACTTAATTTTGCTGCCCAAAAGGATCCCCAGAGGTTGAGATCTAAAGACAGCCTGGAACTAGGTACTCCTGAGTGATGAGCAGTGGAGAGGCCAGTTACTCCTGCTGCCATGCTGGAGTTGGAAAGGGTGGTGGCAACCCATAATGTTTTTATGAGTGACTATCCATTTCCTGGACTACACCATAGCCAAGGAGGCAATGGAGTCACTGCCCCCCACTGTCTACTCCCTGTTTTGCTTTTGCCTATAGCCACCTGTAAGCTTCTTGCATCACTGTTTTTAACTTTATGAGTAACTTAGAATTCAGTGCAGTGTTTGTTAAGTCAACTGAGTTGGAAAAGATGATGAGATGCGATTGTAAAGAAATGGTGGGTGAATGCTCAGTAGCAATTACAGCATGTTGCTCTAGGATACCTGGTTACATTGAGAAACCACAAACTAATTTCCATTTATGCTGTTTCATTTCCTCACTTAGGCTGTGTGAGAGAGGACTCAACTTCTGGCCATTTCCTGAAGTATAAAGACCTGGTAGAAGTGACAGTGAAAGTAGTTTAGCCACCTGTTCAGAAAAATAGAGCAGGCTTCCTGTGCATCTGGATACTGCTCACTTGCTCCTGTTTCTAGTTAAATATACCTGCTAAGAGTTTCATCCACCTGACAAGTGAATTGTATTTCCCTTTTTCCAAAGTTGGCTCAAAACACTCAGTTGCAGAGTCATTTGTTCTTATTTCTCAGCTCACTATTTCAAGGGCGGATGGAGTGTGGCAAAGAACAAGATTCTTAACGTGCATGTCCCAGCGTCAGTGTTCCTGGGAGAATTTCTGAGATCCTCTGAAATCTGGCATTACAGTTGCATGTTGCCAATGACAGCTGGCCTTTTTCTCTTGTATTGTTTTCCATATAAAGACCATGAGTGCTCTTCGATCTACAGGTGTGCCAGACCAAGCCCTGCATTCCTAACAGATCTCAGGAAGGCACTATTCACTTCAAGTTCTTGAGCAATGCTTTGTTCACAGTAGTTTTGAATCACAATCCACCAGGTATGTACAGACTGACTAGTTAGCTAAGGGACATTGAAAGCCTCCTGTAAATTAGGCTGAAGTACAAGCAAAATCAGGCTGAAGTCTCAGTTCAGTGCTGCATGATGACATGTCTGGCAACTGGCCAAGCTAGGAAGGGGCAGCCACTTTGAGAAAGACATTTTTATACTTCCCACTCTTTTGTCTTTGGTTTTCTTCACTTTACATTTGTTTCTTTATCTCCTGTAAATATGTGTGTCTGAATATCACTAAAATCAGCATGGGTCAAATGTGGTGAGCTTAACCTGAACAGTTAATGTCAGGTATTTGATAGCCTCTTGGGTGCTTCCAGCAAGAAATTATTTTTTCTGCCTGCAGTCTCCTGTTGAACTGCTGTCCTCTGTTCTACCTGCTCTTCAGCTGCATCTCGACAGTGTATCTTTCCCTGGTTTTAGCTCGCAACTTGGATCAGTGCAGAGTTGTAAATATGTGTGCTACCTAATCAAGAAGAGTGAAAACCTGTATACCACATGCCAAGGCTTGAGGAAGGATAAAATGCATACTGCTGTCTGGAGACTTGTTTTCCAACCTCTAAATGCCTTTTTTCTTTTGTTTCTTTTTTTTTTTTTTTTTTTTTTTTTTTTGCATCTTGAGAAAAAAAGTACAACTTGTAGAAACTTAGCTAAGCAAATTAACACCAATTCCACTGATTTTCACTGCCCTTAGATCCAGCTGCATCAAGATTGTTTTTGGATGTCGTAGTTGTCATAGGTATTATAAAGAATGCTATCACCAAGATTTCTGTGGGTCTAGTGCACGCAATATGCAGTAAACCACTACTTATATTAGAAACCAGTATAGTAATAGTAACCATACTGAATTCCTATACTATTGCTAAGGTCAGAATATTCTAATCATCAGTTCAGATGGGAGAAGTCTTATAGTTAGACATTCAAAATGAAAGTCATTACTACTGAAAATGCAATTTATCATTAATCACTAGGTATACATGGCTGCTTGCAAAACTTTAAATGCATCTCTCTGGGGTGAAGGTAAAATAAAATAACTGTATGCAATTGTTGAAAAATAAGCTGTTAAAATAATTTCTTACTGCTGTAATTTCTTGAAGATGAACCATTTCTAAATGACCATGGATCCAACAAAGCATGGAAATTTATAGCTCCCTAATATGAGATTCAGTGTCTTTCCTATTGTGGTTTTTGAGTCTATGGGAGGCAAAAGAATACGTCATTTTTCAACAGGATAAATACAGCCTCTTGAACTACTGTTGTGGGTCAGCCCTAGCTGGCAGCTGAGCACCAGGTAGCCGCTCACTCGTAGCTTCCCCACCCCGCAGGGGGACGGGGAGGAGAATGGGAAGACAAAGGCAAACCCCATGGGTTGGGATAAGGGCAGGTTACTGGGACAGCAAAGGGGGAGGGACATAACAGCAGCACTTATAACGGAATATACCCAACAGGGGATACCACAAGGCAATTTACCGACCCGACAACCGACCGGACGCTCAACCTACACTCAGACTGTCCTGGAGCTGCAGCGAGCCGCCCCTCTCCGACTAGCCCTCCCCCCCATTCTCCTTAAATGGTGAGCATGATGTCATATGGTATGGAATGCTCCCTTGGCCAGTTTGGGTGACCTGTCTTGGCTCCTTGCGAAAATTAACTCTATCCTAGCTGAAACCAGGACAACTATAAATGAGGAAATGCTGTATTTCATAATGTGGTTCAATCTGTTCAAGAGTCTTATGTTGTAAAACTATGTCATCGGTGTTCCAGCTGTTCGGCTTTAGTTCCCTACATTATCATGCATTAATGTTGCCTTTATAAAAAAATCAAAACAAAACACCAGCATTTGTATCAATAAAATGTTTTCATTGACATGTTGTTTCAAAAATATTTTACAAATACATTCCTATGTTTATACCCAGACAATCCTGTAAGGTGAAAACAGTCATTGTAGTCCTCAAAGGCAGGCTCCTGTATACTTCAAAATCACCAATGCTTCAGAGCAGGTAAGAAGAAAATGTTAAATGATAAGGAGGTGAAGACAGCCACAGAACCTTATGTCGAACTGCAAATGGTACAGTATCTGATGTCAATCTTCTCTTTGATTTTAGCATACAATCTAGAATAAAGTGAATTCCTGAAGTAGCAATACAAATACCGGTCCTGGATCATCCGATTTGGATGTAGTAATCCAAGTAGCAATCACTTGGAAATATTCTTTTTCCATGTCAGTGTGTAAGGAAACAATCTTTTCTATACATTTTTAAGGTGCAGTTATTAGCTGCATACACGTTTTGCTCTGGAATTAAATAAGATACACAACCTGACACTGCTGCTGTTTGCTGCTATTCTTTCTCCTCCCCTTTCTTTACTTTATTCCTTAAAAAGGTGCCACGTGAAATTCACAATGTAAGGTTTTTTTCCCTGTGAAAAATAGAAGTCTTTGATAATACAGATACTTCTTAGAAGAGGTTTGAGACCGAAATGTGATATTCAGACAGATATGCAGGTCAATGGGAGGCATTACAAACCTATACGCTGAATTCAGATTTCATATACTCCCTTCATAATTGCTGAGGAAAACCTGCCAAACTAGAAAACCCTGAACTACAGCTGCCTAGTGTTTGGATTTGGACATTCCTGGATTTGTTTCCTTCTCTCGTATAAGCATAAAAGCACCAATACTGTACAGACTAAATTTAGGAAGGACAGACACCCAACCATCAGGCATTGCATCGGAAATCTCATTAAACTGCTTGTACAGGTTAGAATGATAATTTGTTACCATTCTGAGATAGCAACCCACATTAACTACTATTTTTTAATATATACTATATATTTGTGGAACAAACCAGTCTTTTATTGTGCAAACTACATTTTTATACTAGCAGTCTCTCACCTGCTGTATTAAATGCTACTGGAAATAACAAGGCAATCATTTTCTGACACGAACTTCAACAGTTTCCTGGCCTCAGCCAGCAAGTTCCTGTTAGTTTTACAAGTTGCACAATTTTAGGGACTACTTTCCATAATCTCATAAACTGTCTTTAAATAGCTGCAAATGGCTGTAGACTTGGAGAAAAACTTGCTAAACTACAGCTTTTTCGTAATTACTCCCTGCAGGGGTCCTTAGCTGGTCTTTTGATCAAATGCGGCATGTAATTCCTGAGCGAACGGTCTGTTTTTGTGGGGCTTTTCATTCAAACCAGCTTTCCAACAGTGTGTAGAAGGCTAAAGGCTGATTATATCTTGCTTGAGGTATCACTGCAGTTGTGTTTTTGGTAGGAAAATGACCTACACATTTCTGATTTGATTCCAGCTCATTCATTCAGCCTAAGGCATATACTTGGAATGACAGAAGCACATTTTATACAAGTCATTATGTGCTCTTTATGGATAACATTGTCTGGAGAAACATCTTATTAAAATCTGTACCTGTAACTCTATAGTCTTCCTCATTTGCTAGGTACACAAACCAAAAATACATCTTTATATAGCTTGGACTATCAGTACTTCTCACAAAGCTACAGAAAAAGTTGAAAGTCACACATATCCTATCATACAATTTTATACCGTGCTATGCTGCAAAGTAGTTTACAAATGTGTCCTGTTACACTTTTATAGGCATAGAGAAGACACAGAACATTTACAAAGTATATGCAAGATGACTTTAGGTTCATGTCTCAAAATGAACCAAACTAATGAGTTCATTGAGAAAAAATTGAAGTATTTAACACACTGCCCTGGTGAGCTATAAGATTAATGCCAAACATTGAAATGTCTGGAAATAAGGGCTGAATGTTTAAAGCATCGACACTACATACTGCTCAAAGATGTTTTGATGTGTTACATATATAAGCACGAGGTAGGTTTTGTTCAGTAACCTAGAATATTGGTGAGAGCATTAACAAAAAAAAGTGAACCAATGTGAACTTACTGTAAAACAGAAATAAACACAGAGAAGTAGTTCCTGTTCTATACCAAATGAACTTTCTGGAATAAAATTGAGTCTGCTACAAATCAAGACTGTAAATGTGAGTGCAGGCTAAATTTCAATTAAAAAAAAATTATGGAACCACAATATTCCCTTCTCACATGACTTGCAGCGATTACAGATATGTACAGTTACAAAATGATTTTCCACAACAACTAGAGGCCCACTAAGAACTGGACTGATTTTGGTCTCACTGGTTACTCAGCTTGGTGAGAATCTCACTTCTGTTTTCAGATGACATATTACAATATATTCTAGGCATACCTAAAAATGGATGAAAGAATAAAATAGTTACAATAAAATACATAATTCTTTGATAGCTTACAGCACTAGCTGAACTAAGCAAACTTAACAAATTCTAATATAGCTTTTATTTTACTCTGGAGTAACTATTGACTAGTTTTAATCAAAAAAACTATTGACAGTTTTTTTTATATTTAGTAAGGACTTTTATGAAATGGAAAGTTGTAAGCACAACACTCAGGCAGTGTATGTCAGACGTCTTATTGGAATAAAGGTAGGAAATTAGTCCCCTATGCTGTTACTGGATTAAATGCAGTGTGATTTCAAATTTAAATTGTAAGTCTTTTCATCTAGATTTGCAGCTGTGCAAGCAAGTATAAAATGCTACAAAGTCCACTGTAGCTTATTTTACAAAGGCAGAGGGTTTCTTTTACTCGTATGTATAGCAGCTCAGGCCATTACCATCACAGAAATGAAAGACTTCCCAGTCCAGTCTTTTATTTTTACTTTATGCTATAGAATTAGTATGGAATTGTTTTAAATGAGCAAAAAATGTCCAGAATTGCCCCTTCCCTACTATCCATCCCTGTGATACAGAGATAAATATTTGTATCAGGGACACTATGAAGCACGGACATAGAAGAGAGCTAGGCTGTATGTGTTGGCATAATGTCCCACCATGCATGTTAATTTGCATGTCCTAGTTTAAAACCTGGATTGTATTTTAATTTTTGAAAACCTTACAAATGCTTTGAAAGTTAACCTCTTGTTTATAAATAAGCATTTTTCCTTTAGGAAGTCTTATTTGCTTTTGTTTTTTCAACTCTCAGAGTTCTGGTAATTGCTATGGGAGGGCAGGGGCAGAAGGAGAAGAATCAATAAACAAAAAAAAAGCTAATGGAGCCTCACAGGGGAAGCCTGTTAAATAAGGTTAGTGTGTTGTGGCAGGATTTCACAACCAAGCACTCTAAGCAGTAATGTATAAAAGAACAGGAGTCTAAATTATTTAACTCAATATGGTTAATTGGTTAGCAACCATGAAATCACACAGTGACATTTTTTACATTCAATTTTCAAACTAGAATACTGTTTCATATAACTTAAAGTACTTATATATGTAACACACAACTTGACATTCTCCCCCCTGCTTTCTTGCAAATGAGCGATAGCATTCTGAAAGTGATTTCTACATTTTATGTAAGTTAAAAACTTCTAACAAAAGCTTCTTTTGTTTCTAAATGAGTAGACTTCTATCACCTTTGAAAAGTCACTCACATTTACACAATGGGTGCTGAGGGTAAGTATACAGATTTTAGAAGATCAGTAAACTTACTCGTAATCATCCTCACAAAAAGCTTTTAGATTTAGTGTTAGCCAAACCAAAAACATAAGCAAGCTAGACACGCTCCATGTCACAGGTCAAATCTGAGGAAATTAATCTTTTCCAGTGCATGGCTTTATTTATAGTTATTGCAAGTCTTCCATGAACAATCTTTATTACAAAGACATTTTACTAATTTAATCAGAAGGGTCCCACTCAAAAGCCAAAATGACTGATGTGATGCACATTTGATGTACAGATGAAAATTAATTAATTTTCATCACACACAATGGATACTTTGTTTTATAGGATTACTGTGGAATTGTCATATAGGTCTGAGTCAAAAAAATAGGAAATGGGAAACACATAATGAGGGAAACATTTTCCATGTGTTCCCCTGGAAAAAAATCACTTCCACCAGCTGTATTTGCCTATTTTATGCCAAATACAGCATAAGAATGAGAACGGAACACAGCCAGCCTGATTTTTTCAAAAATCTTTTTTTGTTTTGGAAGAATTGATAGCTTCTGCCTCCTGCTTGTTTTGATCTGTAATTGACAGCTTTTCCCAAAATATGGTGCTGCAGCAATGCCTCATGAAGGTCCCTGCTCAGTTGGAAAGGATTGCAGCAGGTAGATTTTTTTCCTCCCCTCATGTTTAACATAGAAAGGACAGGTCCGTCATGTCAAATAGTAATATCAATTTATGTCCTTAGCAGAGTGCATCTGGGCATACTGCTGATTCCTTGAGTCACAATGATGCACATCACACAACAGGAAACAGCAAAAGTATAGTATAGATTTTAAGTATGCATTAGTTCGAGTAAATGAATGTCTACTATATTGTCACAGCACTAAATCATTACAGATCTTAAATAAAGTTTTTTTCTTTTGCTCTTTGTCATGCGGCCTAAATAGAATATTGGCTTATATAAGTAACTACTGCTAATACAAAACAATGATGCCCTCATACTGTAGAAATAGAATAAACTGTAAGGCGTCAGAAACTTGTTCTTCCACAGTAGGTGTGCTTTGCTTCCTGTCATACAAGATGTTACCACTCTACAATGGTATATTTTAGTCAAAAGCATTTCTTACCTAAAAAATGGATTCTTTAAATCAAGAATATTATCAGATTTAAATCCTGTCTGGTCCACCATAGCCACAATCTGAATATCATAACTTTGTCTGCATCAGAAAGAGAAGTATAAAAAAAGAGGTAATGGAACTAAACCAACTATAACATCTTGTGTGAAAACACACCAGTGTAGTTATTGTGTGAATAATAACCACTTAGTATAACAAGCAAAGGAAATGTATTTGCAGTGGTATCAGTGCAAGGCCATGATTATATAATCATCTCTAAAGAAGTAAAATTACAAGATGCTTATTTAAGAGTTTGCATCTGAAAATAATTTTGCACTGATAGTATTCAGTAGTGAAATGTCTTTTCCCTCCTCTCTAACAGAAATACTATAAATTTCAACATTAGCAAGTACAATCAGAGTATTATTTCATGATCAAAAATATATAACTGGCCAAACAGCATTAGGTTAACTCTTGTCATAATCCTGGATTTCACCAGAAAGGATACGTTTCACAGGACTTTTTGCAACAAACTGAGTTTACACAGAAAAGTGAAGAGGACCAACTGAGCAGAAGATGCTGCTGAGTTACACAGAGGTGCTATGTTGGTCCTGAAAGCAGACTGGCTTTGTGGCAGGACTTGTGAGCCCAGTGCTAACACATGGTTAGAGTGCTTCTCATTCTCAGCCTGGCAAGGTTGCTAGCTCAGGCGTCTCCAATCCATGCTCCGCTGCAGATATGCCTTACGTATTGACATATTTACAGCAGAGGGCTGTGTGATCACTTTGTGGCATACAATGTTTCTTTTATATATTAAAATATAAATACATTTTTACATTTGAAAGAGATATATCAAGATCTGTATTATTTATTTTCTCCGTGAAGAGTTTCTAAGCAGAAGATCTGGAAATTTGACAAGTCCCAAATTAAGTATTTGTTGCTGATGTGATTAAAGAGCCCTGGAAATATTACTGACAGCTTTGATGTCACTGGAATCACCTAACTGATCAGCATGTTTCCTCCCTCAGAAAAAAAAAAATAAAAAAAAAATTACCTTCCTAAAGAGAGGAGGCTCTGTTTTCTGTTAAAACTACACATACACATAAGCAAACAAGGCTGCAACTTGTGTGACCCAGTCACTGGAGGATTGTTTTCAAAGCAAAGCATAGGAGTGGAGTTACCAAACATTTGACTGTCAGCAGG